ATATATATATATATATATATATATATATATATATATATATATATATATATATATATATATATATATATATATATATATATATATATATATATATGTCGCATGCAGCAAATTCGTGTAAACTCGCCTTGCTTTTGGAAAGATTCGGGCACGAGGGTATGCGATGATTCTCCGAGAGCTAAACTAATGAAGCGCGTGGAATCTTTATTAGCTGCGTTTCCTTTTAGAGCGACGCGTTCTTGAGGTGTGCGCTCTACCACGGATAGAGATATATCCGATAGACCGTGGCCGTCGATGGAGCTCGAATTGGGCGAGGAATAGGCGACTCCTGTGTCGACAGGCGACACTGGAGAACCTGGATTGCCACCGTTGATATATTTCTCTTTTAAGGCGGCCAACTGTTCCGTGATGTCATTCTGAAATTCTCTGCAACACAAAGATTAGTAAAGTATATTAGTTAAAGAAGTAATTTCTACTATACCAACAAAAGATATAGAACCAACTTTATTGTATTTCGAAACTCGATGTTGAGCGTATCTTTGTAGGAAGACAAAACCGAAAGCTTCTCCTTTTCTATTATCATGTACTGATTTTTAATATGCCGGTCGCGTGCAAGTTTCGTTTGCTTAGCGAGTTCTGTTCTCAATTCTGAAATGACTTTCTCGTCGTCCTTAATTTGTTGCTTCAACGTCGACACTGTTTCATCCTTATCCTCCGCCGCTCGAACTGTTGCTCGAACTTCTTTCAATTGAAACGTGAGTTCTTTTATATGATCTTCTAAAATTTCCTGTTTCTGATCAGCTTCCTTTAAGCACGCATCTCGCTTTTGAATTTGGCTGTACAAGTAAATAAATATTTGTATTAAGAAGGCACAAAAATTAGAAGTTCGAAAATTCGAATTTTTATGCAATGTTTGTAACGTTACATACGTTCGACTAAAATCAATTCTTCGTTTTTTTGTCACTGATACATTGTACAAACCTAAGTAACTTTTCTCGTTCTGACATCCATGATTCACATTTTGCCTTCATTTGTTTACTGTATTCTTGCAATTTAATTTTACTTTCTTCTAGTTTCGACTGTACGAAAATAATGTCTAATTCCTGAAAATATAAATAACAGCATACAATTCATTCAAAGATGGAACATGAGAGTTGTAATAATAGCATACCCCAAATGCCGATTTTTTCGGAGAAGAACTTGCAGGTATTCTGCATAATATCTGTTCTATTTCATTAAAGATTTCATTGGTTCTCTTGTCTTTCACAACTGAATCTTCTAATTCTTTCATTAGAAAGCGTAATGTACGCACTGGATTGAATTCACCAAATCTATAAGCACCATTACTTATTTCAGGAACTTGCACAACTCGATCTTGGACAAATACAGACTGTATACTATTTGAAGAAGATGAAGGTAACTTTTTACAACTGCAAGTTTTGAGATGCTCTTCTGTTTTCTTTTGAGAAGATATCCTTTTCGATGAAGTGGCATCTGTATGTTTACTGCTACACTAAACAAAAAAAATAAGATGTTTAAATAACAATATAAAAAGATATTTCAGTTATATCAATCAGGAAATTTAATTTATCTTGTATAAAATATTTCCTATAACAACAAATTATTCTTCTTCTATGAAAAAAGAATGCTATCAAAATTCTGGAAAAGAATCATAGACAATAATAGCAATCATTTGGTTGATGAATGATTGATTTTTATTGAATGTAATAAAAACAGATGAATAAAAAACTTAACTTTCTGACTAAACCAATATGCATATATCAAAACATAACTAAATACAATATACAATACTTACGTTACATTTATTTTTCTGTACTTCTGGGACATTTGAATTCTTTTTTACTTCTTTATTCTCTGTATATTTAGTAGACTTAGAAGACTGCATTTGTTTCATATATAAAAGATTCTGATTTCCAAAAATAAGACCCCAGTTCTGAGGACTTCCAGTATTGTTCACAGTAGACTTCTTTTTCTCAGACAATGCTTTCTGTCCAGGGGTATTAGAAGTTGGCTTGGTGGGTGTACTTTCTGATCTTTTTAACTTATCCTGCGTTTTCACAACAACTTCCACCACCTCACCCACTAATACCATTTCCTTGGAAGGTGAAGCTTTTGTTGCATACTGCGTAAAACCAAATAAGAGAAAGTAAGTATTGTACAAAATTATGTTTGGAATAATTGATAGAATGGAACAGAGTTATACTTGTTAAGTATATGTTAAATTAATAGAATTACAGTGACAGTGTGAGAAACTATAACCTTTAATTATTTTATACTTTAAAAGCATTACAATTTAATTATTATAAAAGTAATACTTAATATTTCAAAGATAATACATGTTTTAAACAAGTTATCTAACATAAAAAATACACAACACATGTAATTACTTAGTGTGGTATTTTTACCTTAGCACTCATGATGTATTGATTATTAAATACATGTTGCACATATCTTCATAAATAATCAATTTAATATATTACGAAGAAAACCGCTATTCTCTATATTAGCACACAAATAAATATTATTTTAAACATTAATAATAACAAATAATTTATAGAAAAAGAGGTAGGTGAAAAATATAAAGGTCTATTATGATATTCAACGTAAAACTTCAAAATAAAAACGTCTTTTGACTTGCTGTTGAAACGTAAGGTTGCAAAATAAAAGGGCCTCTGACCAATCGTTAAGTTCAGACTTCAGACTTCAATGATTGGCTGAGTGCACTTATGGCTCCTGCACACAA